GGCCTCCCGCCTTTCACCACCGACCTTCCTCTTCCTCTGGGCCACTGGCCTTGCCTCCTTGTGTATCGCTAACCTGTGACAGATGAAGTTAGTGTCTATACCTGGCATGTCGGCGCTGGACCAGGCGAATGAAGGAACATCAATCTTCTTCAACTAGTTCCATCAGAGGTGTGGAGTGGACACCACTGCTCCAAGCTGATTCAACGTCGGCCTCCCAATGATGATGTTATAGGAGGTGTTGGCTTCCACCAGGAGGTTTCGGACCATGATTCTCCTTGTGTCCGGAGAGGTTCCAAAGGTGGTCAGCAGGTCCACGTATCCCCGAGTGTGCGCTCGCTCTCCTGCAAAACCGACTAGGGGTTTTGTGTGAGGTTGGATGAGAGAGTGGGGGATGTCTAACTCGAGGAAGGTCGGCCAATACAGGACATCTATCGAGCTCCCCTGGTCTATCAGTGTCTTGTGAACCTCCCAATTGGCCACCTCCACGGCTATGACCATGGGGTCATCCTGGTTGGGACTGACGCTGGCATAGTCACTGTCAGTGAATGTGATTGGCGGTGAACTTTGGTGCGAAGCTGAGGTAGCAGAATGGACACTGTTGATATTGTGCAGGTGTCTCTTCCGGGCCGAGCTGGTGGCACCTCCCCCTGCGAAACCACCTGCAATTGTATTGATTACTCCCCGTAGGAGAGCTGATCCTGTTTCTTGGCTTACCTCGGCTTGCACTGCTCTGCCGGCATTTTGTTGAGAGCCAGAGGGTTGATCCGCGCGAGCTCCTGAACCACGACCTCTGCCTCGTCCCCGTCCATCGTAGCCTCCTCAGTGACCCTGCTGTCGCTGGACATATTGGTCAAGGTGGCCTGCCTGGATGAGTTCTTCAATACGGTCTCGGAGTGTGCGGCACTCCTCAGTGGTGTGACCGTGATTCCTGTGGTACCGACAGTGCTTGAATTTTTCGTCACTGTTGGGGGTGTGACCTGGCGGTGGCAGGGTGAGCAGATTGTTGTTATTGGCCTCCTCCAAGATATGTACTCTGGGCGTGTTCAGGGGAGTATAGAAGTCATATCTCCCCCCTCTGTTTGTCCTAGCTGACTTCTTGAACTGACTATCATTGTTGACTTTGACCTTATCCTTGTGACCCTGTTCTGGCTTCATTGGTCCCTTTCCACGAACCTGGTCACGGAATGCGGAGTGTTCCTCCATCTAGATGTAGCCTGCAGCACGGGCGCAAAGCTCGTCCATGTCGCGAGGAGCCTCACGACATAGGCTGTCGACGAATGGCCCAGGCTTGAGTGCCATGAGCATGGCATGCAGGGCGACCTCGGGGTTAAGATTTCTGATCTTGACCGAGGTGGCGGCAAATCGCTCCATGAACGCCCGAAGTGGTTCATCGTCGTTCTGTTTGAGACTGGCCAGGGCGGCGGAAGTGATGTGGTGAGGCCGGCTCGTTGCATATTGCGCCGTGAACTGCCTGACCAAAGTGCTGAAGCTGTCGATAGACTCAGCAGGAAGCTGGGTGTACCAGTTGAGCGCAGCCCCCTTCAGTGATGTTGGAAAGACCCTGCACAGTATAACATCCTCATTAGTATAGAGGTTTACCTGTGTGGTGTACAGGTCGATGTGCTCATCCGGGTCAATCGTGTCATCGTAACAGTCGATGTGGAGAGGCTTCCATCCAAAGGGGAGAGGTGTCTCCATGATGCCATCCACGAAAGGATGACGGCAAAAGGTCGCCTGATGTCCCGTGCCGTGAGCAGGGACGTTGCTGACATCCTGTGCCGACCTGTGCTTCGGTACATGAGATCGATGTGAAGCAGGTCTGGGGGTTGGTACCCTAGTTGTGGCTGGCAGCTGAGAAACCGAATTGCCTTCCTCCTCGTGTAGATGACTCGGCTGAGGGGGTTGATCAGAGGGACGCCGAGGGAGTTGAGCGCGAATACGCTCGTTCTCGGCGCGCAACGCCGCTAGGTCAGCTTCATTAGCGGTCCGCATTGCCGCTAGGTCGGTTTCGTGCTTGGCAAGCATGTTGCGCAGATCGGCGTCGTGTTGTTGCCGCATCTGTTCGACCTGGTCGATCAATCTCCTCAATGTGGCTTCGTTATCCATGGTAGTTGAGTGATCTGCGTCGTCCGTTGCGCGTCTACTATGGCTTTTGGGGGATGCCATAAGCGTGGGCGATAAGAGCTATCTCGATCGGCCCCACGGTGGGCGCCAAATGTTCTTACCGGAGATCTGCTATGGAGATGATCCACCGAGTAAGATTGGTTAGCCTCCTTCGCTGGTACGTTGGTGTTCCAAGATGGGGGTGGTACCTGCAAAAGAGACTCCGATGCTAAAGTTAGGGTTTGTATGAGTATATGTCTCGTATAAGTAATGCACGTACCTTAGTGTAAATTAGAGTTGCGTTAGGCCTTGGGCCTGAGATCAGTTGTGATCTAATTAGATAGGGGATCTCGTCTGGACCAAGATCTCCTGAGATTAGTTATGATCTGCTTAAGTGACGAGCTGACGTCACATAGCGCATATCCGAGGTTGCCACGCGCTGTGATGCCGAGCCGGGAGCTCGGCTTTGTAGTACGGATAGTACAACATGGTTTCACAGATGTTAATTAAACTAGGAAGTCTAATATTTCTGTCAAGGTAAAACAACTTGGATATGAGTCTATCATGGTTTTAGCTAGCATAACTAAATCTCCTATGGGATTAGTCCATCGACTACCCTCCAAATACACCCCTCCAATACTCAATTAGGGATTAAATTCCCAACCTTGTACTTTACTCAAGCTTGATCAATTTATAGATATATGTCTCAACCTTGCCTATATACGAATCAACAGTTGTTCACTTATAATTGGTATGCCTTGATCTGACCCACATACCATGTCAACTAAGGTCATAGAGGAGACTTAACTCTCCATTCTAAGAGTAATACTCACTCAAGGAAGGTTTTTCAACCATTGAACTCATAGAGAACCACAACAATATCCTCACCATTAGATAGTCAACATAAATGCTTAATGTTTAAAGCATCCTTAACATACATATCTACAATATCATGTTGTTAAGTCAAAAAGAGATCTTGGATCCCTCAAGTTCTGATAATAAAAAATGAAATATTTTCCTCTAAACAAAATGAATTATCTACAGAGATATTCTATATCAAAAAAAATGTGGAAAATATATATCGTTTGTAAGATGAAGAAAATCAAACGAAGTATACAGTCTATCTCATTATGCATTAAATGTATACTTCTAAGTGAGACTAACATTAATTTTTATTAAATGTTTTATTCCTTAACAGATAGAACAAGAAAGATGTCAAACTATCAAAATTTGTTAAAGAAGGAAAAGTCAATTTATTCGCCAAAAGCAAAAAGGAAAAATCCCGAATATCACAGTAAAGGCTTTGCAAAGATATTGAAATACATAGAGCAGAAAACTACGGAGAAACACTTATTGTAAATTTTGTATATATTTCTTTATAGATTATTTGTGCTTTCAGTGCTAATTACACCATGTCTAGAAGAGATGAAACAATCTTGTAATCATCCATTACCTTTGTTCTAAAGGTTGAGCCTTAAGAGATTTGTTTGAAAGAATACTATGTTGAGCTTGGAGAGGCTTATTTGAAAGAATACTTGGTATTAAGCCTGAAAAGGTTTTATTGAAAGAATACTTGGTGTTAAGCTTGGAGAGGCTTGTTGTTCAAAGAATACTTGGGTAGTTACTTGAAGAGACAAGTCAAAGACTACTTAGGATTGAACCAAAAGTGATTTGATAAAAGACTACTTGTAACTTTGTTGAATGTTATTGAAACTCAATCTGGTTGGATTGAGAACTGGGCGTGATAATTGAGACGAATCAGTATAAAAATCTCTAATGTTTCATTTGACTCTTCTCCAACGCTTCATCTAATAAGTTATTTTCTTTTCACTGCACAAATATGTGAGTTTTTGATATACAATATTCAACCCCCTTCTAGTGTGTGTCTTTTCTCCACACATTCATAAAGCATATTCAACATAGCTACTCAATCAGACAACATACAACTCAACTCAAAACATGCAACATATTAATCTACTCTATTCATGTTCACCATTTATAACATTAAACAAGTTTTCATCAAGCAACATTACCCGATGCTATTGAGGTAGGGATTCTGCCCTACCTACACTTGGAATCACAAAACCTGAGCCCGACATGGATGAACATCGCACCTAGTATGGTGAAGTTCCACGGCCGACCCCAATCCATACTGAATTTGACAAAGTGGTAGCAAAGGGTGCATATTGACTCAAGACTTTGGATGGTTGCAAGATTCCTAAAACATGGAACACAACTAGTTTACAATTTTATTATAGTTAAAACTTTTACTTTGTTTTTTGTTTTATGACTAGTGTTATTTGCCATTATTCAAATAAAATTTCAAATGATAATCTTCCCAAAAACAAACATGAAGATACATGACTTGAACCGGTCGCACATTGACAAATACAACGTGAGTAGGATAGGTCATACACTAACTGCCATGCAAAGATATGAAGATACGTGACTTAAATTGATCATTGACCGACAAGTGTAGCATGAGTATAATCGATTATACATCGACTTCCATGCGAATATATGAAGATGCATGACTTGAATCAGTCATACACCGACAAGCATGGTTTGAGTAGAATTGGTTGTACACCGACTACCACGCGAAGACATGAAGATACATGACTTGAATTGGTTGTGCACCGACAAGTGTAACTTGAGTAGAATCGACCATACACCATTTTGCACTTCAATTTCTTGGAGTCTATTTTCTAAATCTAATAGTTTTGTAGTGCTAAAAATAGTTTTGAGCTCTTCCAACTTCTTAACATCAACTTGATCAGATTCCAGGAGCTCATTAGCTTGTAAACCCCAATAGGATATCCATTATGTGCCCAAAACAACGGGAAACCATCAAGCAAACCCTCATTATATGTCATACATCGTATTTGGAAAAATGATTTTTTTTAAAATTTATTGTAGGAAGATTGAAACAATGATAACATTCCCTGACCAAATACTTCACTCATAGAAACCTAGTTATTTCTCTTGTTAGCCTACGACTCAAAATGTAGAAAAAAAATTTCAACTATCAAAGTAATACCAAGATCATTACACAAAATTTCAAACCCTTGAATAAAAGCCCAACTATTGAGATACAAATTAGCATGAAAAATTTTAAGTCTTATTTAATCTGTGACCTACCAACATTCTACCAATCAACTTTTTTGTGTAGTTGTTGTTAACTTATTATGAAAACTTTGATATTTAATCCTAACCTTTTATTTACTTGTAATATTACACCATTAATTAAAAGCTTAACCAATTATTTTTATTTTTATTTTTATAAAATCCCTTCTTGTTTCCCATCCCTATGGGTAAAGCTTTGATTATGAAGAAGTTGACGTTGTTTTTTGTTGTGATAGGTTGATGTTAAAATAATGTTTGGTCAGCAGAAGTTACGTCTTGTAAATACAAATTAGTTCTTGATTGTCAACTTTAGAATACTAAGTGAATTATGTCCATAGAAGAAAAAATATATATGAATGTGATAAATATGGTATCTAATCAAGTACATGTAAAGAAAATTATGACATTTTATCTCAATCCTATTAAGATTGAGGATAGCAAGATTAAACACCTAAGAGGAAAAGATACTTCAATGGTCAAGGTTATCTAGCATGACATTAGAGGTTGTCGAACTAGAGGAGAAAATGAAAAAGAATTATCTTCATTTATATATATATATATATTGGAGTAGAAATTTTAAGAACAAAATTTATTTAGTGAGAATGTTAAATACTGTATTGTTCTCAAGCAAGGAAAAGAGCATGGTTAATTTTGGTCATTAATATTCTACTAAGATTTACATATCCTTGATCAAAACAATGGGATTTATTCCAAACCAAAATAAGGTGATTGGTAGTTATAGTATGAGCAGTCTAAACATTTCATAAACTAAGGAAAGTCTTTTGTAGATCGCACCCTAATTGCATACCAAGCTAAGGGATCATAAATTACAAAGGATAAATTTTTTAAATTAATGCATCAATAATTCAATTCATTTTTGCATACCATGCCAAACTTGTTAATGTTATCATGTCATTAACTAAATTATTAAGATCTTTATAAATCAAATGGGGTTAGGGTGGGCTACCTTAATAGGTGGTCCACCATGCTCTACTATTTATGCTCTATTGTACACACTGTTGTCCACCATTGGAGATGATTTTTGACGGGGGTAACATCTTTTTTCCTCCTCCTCTTCCCTTCTTCTTTAGGTCTAGATGTTTTTTTGGTTTCACAGAAGAGAAGGTAAACAAGTGCAGATTGCATGCGACAGAAGAGGTGAGCAATGTAAACTAGGGCAACAAATGCACATGACAAAGGTGCAAAAGTGCAAAGCATAGCATGGAACATCACAGTCGAAAGCACATATGCAAGGCACGATGCAATGAAAGAGAAACATGGGAGCAAACTATGGATTGTGATGCAACAACGGAGGTGCGCAACACCGGTCATGCGAATAAGTTCATATTTGTGTTCGTGCAACGAATGGGCATCGCAACATGGTGATTGTTGCGAGCACAAATTTGCCTCAATGGAGCATGTTAGCTTTATTTGAGTGTGGAGGAAAAAATGAAAGTGAAGAAATTGGGTGTCTTCAGTGCTATCATCAAAAAGGTGGGCAACAAGGAAGCCATTAACAGCCATAGGTATAGGGAGTTGAGGGGTCGGTGGTTCGTGATGAGATTGTTGAGAAAAGAAAAAGACAGTGATACAATGTGGGAGGTTCTATCATAATTATTTAAATCTAGATCAATCTATATGTCATTATTTATTGTGCACTATAAACCACATAATAGTATAGATCATTGTAGACTTAATCTTATAAATCGCACCCAAATTACAAATCAAGTTTCTTTTAGGTTAATCAACTTAAAATAAATATATTTTTATAAAGATCTTGCTTCTATGAATAATTATCAACAAGTTGTTTAACTATTAAAAACATTTTTTTCAAAAATTAAAAGGAAAGTTGTTGTGTGAACATATAGATATAATTGAGATATACTAAAATAATTTAAGAACTTAGGTTGAATTCTATTATTGGACTAAAAATTGGTGAATGTTATTAAATTCTATAAGACCCACTAAAAGAAAATTAAGACATCAAATAGAATTCTTGAGCGATGCTCTTGGGAAGAAACTTTACATTCATCTTCTGGCTGGAGTGGATTTTCACATGCAAGTTATTAATTGAAAAGGTAGTTTGGATACCTTAGTTATTGTTTCACGTAGTGAAGTATGTATGCAATTGCAAGATGTCAAACACCTATATGTTTTGTAGCAACAAGGGTCTTCTATCGGAGAAATTATTACATTGTTTGAATTATTATGATTCCAACATCTCCGTGTAATATGTGATTTTATTATTTATTATAATATAAAAATATAATGGTTAATTGGTTATGTACAACGCAAATAAAATAATCCTAGTCCATTTGGACATGTAGTGGTCTTGTCCTGAACTTTGTAACAGTTTATCATAGGAATTAGAAAGATATTTATGATGAAATTGGTACTTGTGTAAAATTTTATTGGTTGTTCCAAACAACTTGAGCTTTCTTTTCTAATAAAAATATATAAGCATATTGAGTTTTAATATTTTATTTAAATTTTAAAAATTAGTATACAATCATATGCATATTTATTATAATAATTAAAATTTATAATACATTATATATATAAATAAATATTATGGTT